CTCAATGAATTTATCTGCTAGAAATTAAGCACTATTGATGAAATTTCAGTGAAATGGGAAAAGACTTATTAACATGTTCTTCTCTACCTCTAAGTCCATAATGAACATATGATGCTATGGTCTTGCCCAGGGGTGAGGAACTTGCAGCCTTGAGGCTACATAAGTGTGGCCCTTTTACTGAATCCAAACCTCACAGATTCAGTCACTGCTACTGTTCATCCTTCCTTTTTCAAAGAGAACCATGAGATCAGGGAGGTGATGCCATTATATGCTAGTGAATTGCATTTAGGTGAGGCAGGGCTGTGCAGTCACCAGCCTCACTTTCTCTGGAGGCATCTGGGTCCAGGGGCCAGATATGGATCAGGGCAACTAGCCATGGCTCAAGATGCAGTGGAGGACCTTGGCCTTTTCAAGCTGAGGTCTTTAACAGGTATCAGTTTTAGTGAGGCAACGCCCATTCAGTGATTAAGGCTTAATAAAAAATGAGGCAAAGAATGTCCTCTTTTAAAAAAAAATAGGTCTGGGAGGGGAAGACCCTCAGGGTTTCTGGAGAAAACAGAAGCAATTGTTATTTACATTCATTCTGAGCCAATCAGGGCTCAAACAGTGACCAAGTAGGACTTTGGGACCAGAGTGATTTGGGGTTAAAGCTGGTCTTTAAGAGAAAACAAAGCAAAAAATTTCAGAGATTACAGTTTTCATTCTCTTTGGGCAGAGCACCAAGATAAGGGTGTGAATCAGTCAAAGGGCCTCACTTAAGTGCCTAAAGGGCCACTTGTGGCCTTGAGGCCACGGGTTCCCCACCCCTGGACTCTTGCCTCTTTCTTTATGTGCTTTTAAAATATTTTTTCTTCAATCATTATTAAATGACTAAATGCTCTTTTACATTAATCAACCATAATGAATACCTCTCCACAGGGTTGGCTTTCTGGTGAAGCCAACATGATGTATAGACTAAAACAGTCTCCTCTATCTGGGTGCCAAATCAGCTGAAATTCTACCATTTATTCCTTTGAGATTCTCTCTCTGTAGTTCTCTTTTAATATTCAAATGATTCACTTCCAGCTAAGATAGCTACCTGGATGCAGGCAGGCAGCCTTACTCTCATGCTGTAGTAAAAATCTAAAAATTAAAAAAGAAATCTAAAAATTCAACCTATCAGAATAGTGAATAAGAAATCCAACGAGAAACCACAGTGACTTCATTCACTTCATTACTTCACAAAAAATCAGGCAGAGACCATGAGCCCACAAGAAAATCCAGGGTTAGCACAGGCAAACAACATGGATGCTTCCCAGCATGACCAGAAATTGTATAGACATCTGCAGCCTCCCAAGGCTTTATATACAGAGGCTGTAAGTGTATAGAGCCATAGCAGAAAACCTCAGGGTGGTTGGAAACCCATAGCAGAGTGGTCAGAAGCCAAGGATGATAATGACTAGTCTTGGTGTAGCAGCACTCAGAGCAGGACACTCCAGACTCAGGGGCTGTGATAGGCCAGAGAGGACTCTAAAGTTTCTATGCTTTGAACCTCAAAGATCCCAAGAGGGCTTAAAACCTACCAGAACTCTTAGCATAGACACATCCAAGAAGTGGAGATTAATCCGGGAGCCCAAGTGACTCCAATGGAGACCCAGTAGGAATGATTACCCTACCCAATAGCTCAGCACCGGGAGGAGTCTGGTCCTGGTACAAAGCTCAAGTTTAAAAACTAAGGAGGTAAAAGAGAAAAATACTGACCATCTATTAATAATTATTATAGATCCAAAGATAACCGAAAATACAACCTAGAAGAATAAAGTGACTTCACAACTGTAAACAGAGACTCGGAGGAAAAAACTAGTTTTTTCCAGAACTATATGAATACTTGGAAGATATGAAACAAGAAATTTTTTAAAAATCAAGTAAAGGCTCTGCTAGAAGGAGTTAGAAAAATAAATAGATTATATTAGAAATGGAATAAATAAGAAAGTAGTAAACTTTACTCAAATAACAGACTTTTCCAAGGTTAGAATGGAACAGATAGTAATCAATGACTCCATGAGTCAACAAGAAATATTAGAACAAGATCAAAATATTGAAAAGTTAGAAGGAAATGTAAAGTAGTTGTTATTAAAAACAACTGACTTGGAAAATCAGTAAAGGAGAGATAATTTAAGAATCATTATACCTGCATATGGAAGTGAATGTTGAAAACTAAAAATAAATTGATTAATTTTTAAAAAAATCACTAGACCCTTAGAGCCATAAAAAAAGAGGCCTTGAATCTGTATTTCATGAAATTTTTTTTTAGAAATACTCCCCAGATCTATTAGAGCAAGAGGGAAAAAGAAAATAGAAAGAATTTATCAGTCACTTCTTGAAAGAAATCCTAAAAATTTGAGGAATATAATACCCAAAATGTAAAACTTTAGGTAAAGAGGAAAAAATACTTCAAGCAGTCAGAAAAAAAAGAGCTAAATGCCAAGGAATCACAGTCAGCATCACATAAGACCTAGAAGCTTTTACTTTTAACAAGAGGAAATCTTGGAATACAAGATTGTAAAATGCAAAAGATTTAGGCTTATAGTCAAGAATAACTTATCCCACAAAGCTGCTTATTATTCTACAGTGGGGGGAAATGGATCTTTAATGAAATAGAGCACTTTCATGAATTATAAGACCAGGACTGAACAGAAGCTTGAAAATGCAAAAACAAGATTAATAAGAAATTTAGAAAGGTAAATTTATCTGAGCAAATGGAAGGAGCTATACAAAAATGAAATATTAACATTCTAATAGGGAAAGAGGGGCAGCCAGTTGGTACAATAGATAGAGCACTGGGCCTGGAGTCAGGAAGATCTGAGTTCAAATTCAGTCTAGACACTTAATAACTATGTGACTGTGGGCAAGTCACTTAACCCCCTATTTGCTTCAGCTCCTCATCTGTAAAATGCAGATATATTGCAGAAAGAAATGGCAATTCACTCCAATATCTTTGTCAAGAAAACCCCATGGAGAGTATTATCCACAGGGTCATGAAGAGTTGGACATGACTAAACAACAGCAACAATAGGAAAAGAAGAATTAAGTCCCTTTAGAACCTTGATGTCTTCAAAGTGCATTTACAGAGTTAAACAAAACAAACAGAGAAGCTCAGGGGTAGTTTGGTTCAGTTCTGTTCTGAAGCTTTCAAGGGGTGAAAGAAAAGGAATATGCTAGTATGGGAAGGAAGGAAAATGCAGTAGAACAACTATTTCTCATAAATGAAATGTGCAAGAATAGTATAAAAACATGGAGGAAGGAGAAGGGAGAGTAAGCATCAGATAAACCTCACTCTTAGCTGAATCAGAAAAAAGATTGAACACAAATACACACAGAGAGAGACAGAAGGAGAGGGAGAGAGTTTGGTATAGAAATATATTAAATTCAACAGGAAACTGGTGAAGACAGGTAGAGGTTTAAGAGGTTAAGAGGGAAGATAATATAAGAAAAGGAATGATCAACAAGTAAAACACACTTAAGCTTCAGAGGGTGAATCTTGAAGGATGATTAAAAGGGGAAAAAAAAGTTAAGAACCAATGAATGAGTCTGGGAGAAAGGAAGAAAGAAGGCACGATAGAACAGGAGTAGATTTCCAGTTATAAACCACTGGTTTGATCACATTCCTTCTCTTCACTACTTTCTTCTTTGTAATATGTGTAGTTAGTGCTAAGAGAAGAAACAATTTCAAGGAAGGAGAAAAAAAAACCTTTGCAGCAAATTTCTCTGATATTCAAGAGTATAAGGAATTAATTTGAATAAGAACTATTCTCTAGGAGATAAATGGTCAAAGAATATGAACAGGCAGTTCTTAAAGGATGAAATCCAAGTTATTAACAGTTATATAAAAACCCAGTAATCATAAGTAACTGATTTTTAAAATCACTAATAACAAGAAAATGAAAATAAAACAGCTGTGTTCTATCTCACACCAATCATATTTGCAAAGATGACCAAAAAAAATGAAAATGGCAGTTGTTGGAGATGTGGGACATTAAAGCACTGTTGTTTGAACTGTGAATTGACCCAGACATTTTGGAAAGCAATTTGAACTAAAACTATAAAAACCACTAAGCTATGTATGTAGCAATACTATTATTAGGCAAAAAAATTAAAAGAGATTCAAGAAAAAAGAAAGGCATCAATAGGCACAAAAATATTTATTGCAGCACTTTTCTTTTTTGGAAGCAAAGAACTGGAAATTTGGATGCCTGTGAATTGGGAGAATGGTTGAACAACTTATTGTATTATGAATGTAATGAAATACTATTGTGCTTTAAGAAATTATGGAAGATAGGATTTCAGAGAATTGTGGAAAGACTTGTATGAACTGACAGAGTGAAGTGAACAGACCCAGAACAATTTGTATAACAACAACAAAAATACTAAGAAAAATAACTTTGAAAGACTTAATTCTTACTAAAGCATTGACCCACCATGACTCCAAAAGACCAGTGATGAAGCATGTTTCCCATCTCTTGACAGTGAAGTGATGTATACAAGATGCAAAAAGATATTTTTTTTACAATGCCACTTTATGAATTCATTTTACTTGACTATATATTTTCTTGTGACAAACATCTTATTTTTATAAATGGAGAGGGGAGTTGGTAAGTAGGGAGAATTGGTAATAGGAATACCAAAAGAAAAAAAGAAGGCTATTGAAGCTTTTTTTTTTTACATGGAGAAGAGATGAAAAAAATTCAGAAAGAAGTACTGACAAGCAGGATAGTTTTGAAAGTATCATGTTGAATTTATTATATGCTTTTGAAAAAGGAAGTTTTATGGAATAGAATTTCACAATTTCACATACAGTCCTCTTTTAGGTTCTCTATTGGTGTTCAAGTTTAAAAGTTTAGATTTAAGTTTAAAGTAAAAAAAAACAAGATTAAGAAATATGCAAATGATTCTGAAAGGATTAAATCATTAACATACTTCACACTGAGGATTAGCTTCTTCTAGCAGGAGGAACCCTACCCTGGGGCAGCTTGAGATCGTTGTAGAGAGCATAAGTCAATGAAGGGTGGAATGAAGAAATGAAGAGCAATAATGGTAATTTTGCTTTAAAATTTTGTCTTCTGTCTTAGGTCATAAACTCAAAGAGAGCAAGGGCTATATGTTTGATGGAAGGGGGAAAAAAATCTCATAAATTTTGAAATAAATTACATCTTAATTCTTTTGCAAATAAAACAAAATAGGGTAGATTCTGAACTTTACCTTGTCTTAGATTCATTTTGTGTAAACACACTTAGCAAGTTAGCTTAATGTTTGCAATAACAATCTGAGGACTGATTCTGTAGCCATAAAAGATCCTTTTAGTTTTCACAGGTTGAGAATCTGACACAGGGATTTAAAGGTTGGAAGGGATTTAGAAAGAGTGATATCAAAAGACTTAGAGATGACAGAAAATTGGATGTGAACTTGAGAGTACGTATGGTGGCAAAGAACACCAATGATATTTTGGGCAGCAGGGAATGTGTCAGCTCAGAGTACAAGGAATTGATAGTCCCTTTGAATACGCAACTTTGCTAAGGCACATCTGGTTGCTCAATTCTGTTTGAGATATTTTAGGATATGTGTGTGTGTGTGTGTATGTTGTATGTACAAGTGTGCAATTTCATGTTTACACAGAGGTGTCAGGGGTTTTATGGAAAGCAGCCATCACCAAGTGCTCTATGAGAAAACCTTCTAGACTATGCCAACAGATCTCTTGGGTTCCAAGGAAAATTATTGGGGCTCCACAGGTATGTTTCATAATTGAATATATATATGTATATATACATGTATATATAATATGTGACTGTATTTTAAAGTATTTAATTTAATTTGATATTTTAAATATTTAATTTAATGTTTTGTTTCTTTGAAGATATTATTTTTGAACTTGGTTTCTTTCTCATCTATCTCTGAATCAAACTCATTTTCATCATTAGTACTATATTTATTTTCAGCCATAATCAGGGACTAAGTCAGTGAAAATCCAGAGGTGGGAGGGCTAGTATCTTGTTTGAGGAACAGATGGGAGGCCAATGTCACTCTATCGTAGAATATGTGGAGAAGAATAAAGTGTAGTAAGACTGGAAAGGTGGGAAGAGGCCAGGGTTATGAAGGGCTTTACAAGCAGAACAGAAGATTTCATATTTGACCCTGCAAGCAGTAGGGAGCTACTGCTGTTAATTGAACAGGGGAGTGATATGATCAGACCTATATTTTAGGATAATCACTTTGATAAGTGAATAGAGGATGGATGGATGGATTGAAGCAGGGAGGCCCCTCCAAAGCTTACTGCAGTAGTCCAGGCAAGAGAGAATGACAGCCTGTGACAGGGTAGTGACAGTGTCAGAGGAGAGAAGGGGGCATAGATGAGAGATGTCATGAAGGTAAAATTGAGAGATGTTGTGAAGGTAGAATTGGCAACAGATTGGAAATGGGAAGGAGGATGAGAGAGCAAAAAGTCGAGGATTACCCTTAGGTTGTGAGTGTGGGTGACGGGAAGATGGTGGTACTCTTTTTTTTTTTTGATCCATTGACTTTTATTACAAATGAACTTGATCACTTGGCTTCAAAAAGTTTAAATCGATACCCTATTTTCTGTATGCTAGTACAAAGCAGACTGTTTTACAAATGAAATACCTAAAAATTTGACAAAAATATTAAAATTTAATGAAAAACAATTATAAAAATCGTTAATTTCTCTTTTTAAGAAAGGAGGCAATCTTCTCTAGACCAGTTACTCAATATATTAACGTTGACAATTTTTAGACTAGGTAGCTAAGTTATATTTTGTTGTTAGCATACATAGTTCTTAGACTAATAGTTTTTATTGGTACATAATTCAGTTAGTTTCCTGAATGCCACCTGATTGAAATGTAATCCACTACCTTTAATTTAATCCTAATTTATACTTACTTTGCATAGTTTGCAAGGGATAAAGATTACACTATAACTAATAATGTTGTTATAGAGCTATTTTAAAAGGCAACAATGTACTTGTTCCCAAATAAAAGTAATTGTCTACTTTGGATAAGGGAAGGGTTAAAATTACTAGCAACCTTCTGCATACTGAAAAAACAAATCAAGATTGTAATCCATTTTTACTATAGCAACTCTGTTCTTTAAAGAGTTTTTGTAAAATCTTGAAAACAAAACAAAACAAAATAGTGCTAAATTTTATACTTTAGTTAAACTTCAGTCCCTTTCAGGGAAAACTAAAAAGTGACACTGTCAAGGGTTTTGGTTTAGAGACTCCATGGCTTTTGAAAAGCTAGAAAACAATATTCTTTTTCTCTTATTGTTTCTTTCTATTTGGCAAATATTCACCTATCCTCCAATCTGTATTTTATAGAGTAAAAGCCAACATGGCTTTTCTCAGGAACTTCCAGATGGTGGTACTCTTGACCGTAACAGGGAAGTTAGGAAGATGGGAGGGCCATGGGGGAAAGGGTGATGAGTTCAATTCTAGCCGTACTAAGTTAAAGATATCCATGGGACATCCAGTTCAAGATGTCCAACAGGCAGTTGATGAGATCTACATCCTCTAACCTGAGTCCAAATCATGACTCTGCTACTGACTACCGTCACGACCTCAGACAAGTCATTTAACATCTCTAGCCCTTATTTTGTCATCTATGAAAGAAAAGGGAAGGGCAGACCAGATGAACTCCAAGGAGTCTTTCAGACTGAAATTGTACGGTTGCATGGTTATGAATTATGGAATGCTAGAATTTCAGAGAAGTGATGCAGGAAACCAAAAGGACAGTGGAAAGACAATTATTGAAAAAAATAACTGATACCTATCTCACTTTAAGTTCAGCAAAGTGCTTATGGTACATTATCTCCCTTGATCCTCACAGCAACCCCGTGAGGTAAGTGCTCCAATTATTATTATCTTCATTTGACAGCTGATGAAACAGAGACTGAGAAATGTTAAGTGCCTACTAGCCCCACACAGGCTCACACAGCTAGTTAGTATTGGAGGTAAGGGGCTTGCTCAAGTATATTACCAATAAGAACTCACAGAGATGGGCCAGGTTTGTAGCAAGGATAAAGAATGCAAATGGCTAAGCTGAGTACTACTGTGGTATCCAAGAACACAAAAAAGAAACTGAGGAAGGGCAGCAACCAGCCCGGAATTAAAATCTGACCTCAGACACTTACTAGCTGTGTGGCCCTGGTTAACCCTGATTGCCTCAAAAAAAAAATTCAGGTAAGGTCTTCCTCATCTTAGATGGATCCTATGTTGAGGGTTCATGAAAAAGATATCCATAAGAATATCACAGGATGTGGAAGTATTGGGATTTGTCCTAGTTGAGGAAGGTTTCACAAATGTAAGATCATGTATCCACCAAAGCATTAATTTCTTCTTGTTGACTTTGGCCCCATATTATGGGGCCATGTAGAATTTACCTTTAATTGTCATACTCCCTAACCTTCTTATCTTCGTGTCCTCTGAAAAAAAGAAAAAACTTAAGCACAGTATAATTTAAAATAAGCATAGGATGATAGGATTTACTGTTGGAAAGAACTTTAGAAATTGTCTAATCCAACCCCTCCATTTTACAAATAATGAAATTGAGGGCCATCAGGAATAACTGACTTTTCTAACATCCAAATCCAGGACTCCTTTGAAGATACCATATTCATTTACTAGATGTGTGACCCTGGGCAAGTCACTGAACCCCAATTGCCTCACTGAAAAGCAAAAAAAAAAAAAGATACCAAATTCATTTTCATCCAAATCATTGCTAAAATGTTGATCTGTTCTGGAGAAGAACTGGGAAAATTCATCTCCCTTCCTTGCAAAGGTTGGGGTCTATGTGTATAGAATGTTATACATACTGTCAGATTTGGTCTATTTGTTGCTTGCTTGCTTTTTCCCCCTCTCTCTCTCTTTTAAAAGATTGTTTCAAGGGACATCTCAATGGGCAAGGGAAGAGGTATGTATTCAGAACTGAAGGTGACATTAAAAAAATAGTAAAAAATTCCCCCAAAAAATGTTGGGGGACCAAGTATGTAAAATGTATGGCACTCCAATATAGAGATACCTTTAGATTGAAACTAACCAATTCACTGACTTTTTTTGTGTATGTTTATTCAACAAGCTGTAAGTCTACTGAACTATACTAGTATGCTGCTTGCTCTGGACCTTCTTATCCACACCGATATCATGAGAGGCTTTGTCAAGCAATTTCTTTAAATCAAAGTAAGTTATGTCTATAGCCTTCATAGAACCAGAGAAATGTAGAAATCAACTCTGATCTAACCCAGAAAGTCTATCAAAAAAGGAAATGAAGTTGACTTGGCACATCTTGTTTTTTAATGGATCCAAAATAGCACCGAGTAATTATTTCATTCTTTACTAAATGTGCACAAGCATCATCTTACTAACCATTTTAGAATTTTGCCAATAATTCATACCAGGTTTACCCGTGTGTTGTTTCCAGAATCTGTCTTCTTCATTTTCAAAACCAAGATGACATTTGTCCATCTAGTGGTTCTGACCCTTTGGCACCTCTCTCTTCCACTCTGAATGATTTCCCAAAGATTGTAGAGTGATGAGATCACACCTATCAGATCTTTCAGCACCCTGGGATATAAATTGTCTGGACTTAGGTGCTTGAATGAATTTTATTTGCCGGATACTCTCTTGTGAGGATTATTATAGTCTTTGTAGTTAGAAGATGCAAAGATAACATACACACAAAGATATAAAAAAAGACATACGTATGCAGATAGAAAAATGGGCCCAGGCAAAGAGATCCATGCACATGCAAATTGTATGCATGCATATGCAAACTGAAATCTCTGGATATCCATAAGCTGAGATGGACTCAGCACTCTATCCTTTTCCCCCACATTCCTAGCTATAGTTTTCTTCTCCACTGTTCAAGCATTACAGATCCTGACCACCACTCTTCCCTCTCATTCCTTCCCCCATTTCCACTTCTTAGGACAGCGTAAGAGGACACAGGCTCCCAATAGAGCAGAAAGGAGTATCGTTAGATTTCCCCTCAAGGATAAAGGACTGTCTTTCTTCTCCACCTCCCTAATCCCCCATTTCCCCAAGTTTGGCAGAACTCTTTCTTCTTATAGTCTGTTTATAGCCTCTGTTAGAGAGGTGCTTGAAAATTTCACCCTAGAATCTGAGTGGTCACTACTGATACCATCCTGACTGGAGTCAGGAAGAGGGATTATACCCCTGCGTCCAGTGCCTGGAAATCTTACAATGTTCAAAATGAAACCATGTTAACTTTAGTGAACACAGCTATATTTGCCACAGCTATATTTCTTACATCCTTATTGCTTTTTGTTCATTGTGAAAAATGCAAACATACCAGTTCCAGTTCAGTTGTGATGGTAGATAGTTTCATTCTCAGGTTCTCTTCTGCTAACTAGGGAGGTTGCATGGTGTTGAATAAAGAACACTGAACTTAGAATGAGAGGTCTGGTCTGGCTTTGCTCCCTAGAATGTAAGCTTCTTGAGAGCAGAGACTGTTTTCTATTTCGGAGCTTAGCAGAGGGTTTTGGTGCATTTAACAAATGGTTGTTGGACCGTCTGTATGACTAGACCTAAGCCATTACAAGTCTCAGTTACTCATTTCTAAAATAGAGGAGTTGGACCACATGACATCTCAGGTCCTTTCTACCTTTTAAGCCTGTGATTAGCCAACCCAGTTCTTTTCCAGTTGTTTCGTACACAGGGGAGATTCAATCACAGTAGAAAGTTTCTTTGTGCCATATTTTCAAAAGCAAATTTCATATAAAGTCTTAACATTAACACTGAGAGCTTATAACTCTTTGGAAAAGACAGACAGCACAAAGCAGTGGACGGAGAACTGGCATCAGAGTTAGGAAGACCCAGATTCAAGTCCTTCCTCTGACATTATTGGCTCTGTGGCTCTGGGTGGGCCGATTAATGTCCCTGTACCATCGACCAACACTGAAAATGGAGGTACGGAAATACCAGTGTATGTGGGGAATTCCTTAACCAGGAGTTTGTTACATTGATGATATCACAGGTCTGGTAAAAACAACAACAATAAAACCAACTTTCTAGTAGCATCCCTGAGATGCAGGAATGAATTGAATCATTGCAAAATTAGATTGACAAAGTAGGGCACACAATTTTATTGAATCATTCAGTCTTCCCTTGTTTATCGGTTCTGAGGAACAACTCATAACAACTTGAATTTCAATAGTGCTTTAGGACTGACAAAGACTTTCCTTATGATGGTATTGTAAGGTGGATAGCATAGTATTAATATTCCCATTTCACAGATAGGAAATTGAGCCTAAAAGACTCACTCCTGTACACTACCACTGCTAATATGTGCTAAAGCCAGGATTTAAACTAAAGTCCCCCGACTCCTAGTCTGGGATTGGCTTCCCTAAGCAGTGAAGTTAATGTAAAACAGTGAATAATAAAAGAAATATATTGGATTCTGCTTACATTATAAGCTTCCCCCCCCACCTCTGGCAGAGTTACCTTACTAATTATGTTTTCTTTTAGACCAATCACAAAATGAATTGACATTCCTGAACCCACACCAGCTAGTGCTAAGGGATGGGGAGGTGACCTAGCAGTTGCTCGGGAGTATGCCCAGAAAGACAATCTGTGATTCAATATTTGCTGCAGATAATTGAGAGTTGACGTAATTAGAGTTGGCTCAGATTGAGAAAGCTTTCCAACCTGTTCTCACTTCCTGATCCTTTGTATCTTTGAAGGCTGTTAAAAAAAAAGTTATTTATGTCATATCACTAACCTTTGCTTTTTTAACCACTAGATTTCTCTATGGACAGTTTTGTTTTGTTTTTGTTTGGGGGGTTCTCTGTGGACATTTGTGGATCAATTATAAAGCACATACATGGCCCTGGAGCTTGGGGAACATGGCCATTGTTGAGAGGCTAGGTCATTCTATTTTTACCCACTTTCACTTTAATTGCAAATTGTTAGTGTGGGAATTTCCACAAAGGGGTTATACAAGCATACCGGGAGTTGTTTGAAATAGTTTCCAATTTCCTGGGCTCCCATGTAAGAAGCTACCCTGTTAGATTTCACAGCCTCTCAGTTGACCCAGACAACCTACTTTATGTTTAGGTGCTGGCAGAAAACACCAACAACAGTCCTATGATACCAACTCCAACACTTGTGTGAAGATTTCCTCGACAACATATAACTCCAACTGGTAACTTGGAGAAGCCCAAATTCCATTTGGTTGTTCACCATCAATACATGTTTTTGTACTGGAAAGACATTATTCTCGGGAACCATAGGACACCATCTGTCCCATAAGACTGTTCAATCTTTCCACCTTGAAGGAGTTAATTTTCCTCCCATGTGTGAACAATTTGCTTTCCTGAAGCTTTAACTGGTCACTGCCCCATGGAAGCCTGACAGTCATCTTCCTCTGACAGAAGCCTTTAATGGCAAAAACAGTCCCTGCTACTAATCATGTGCATTAGTGAAAAAAACAATTAGTTAGGACTTAGATGGAAGTGGGGGTTGGTCAAAGGACATATTTCAGTTGATCCAAGAGAAGATAGCATTGTGGTGCTTCTTTTTATATTAGTCTATGACCCAGCATATCCTGACTGTCTAAAAAGGCAGGTTTTGTTTGTCCTAGTTTTCCTTTTCTACCATATGTCTTACATGATTTGAAAACCAGACCAGGACAGCTCCTTGCAACAATGGGGTGGCAAGAGATTCTGCTGAGTGAAGACCATCTGTGAATGCTGAAATGTTACAGAGCTGGGGACTGTACTATGTAATCAGGTTGCCCTCAGCAATCTAAAAGGCGCTCTTCTCTTTTTCAACATCACCATGCAAATGGATCCACGAACTACCTGCCTGATGCTTTACATGGGAGACTAGGTTAAGAGAAATATTGTCCATTTCTCTTCATCTCGATCAATCAATCACGTATTTAATAATCAGCCGTTAGATACCAAAGAATGAAACAATCTCTACTAGTGAAGAGCCTACATTCTACAGGGGCCAGTAATGTGTAAGTGAAACTGTATGCAGTGTTAGGGCAGCTAGGTGGCTCAGTGAATAAAATGCCAGACCTGGAGTCAGGAAGACCTGAATTCAAATTTGGCTTAAGACACTAACTGTGTGACCCTGGGCAAGTCACTTAACCTTGTTTGTCTCAGTTCCTCATCTGTAAAATGAACTGAAGAAAGAAATGGCAAACCAGTCCAGTATCCTTTCCAAGAAAGCCCCACATGGGTCATGAGAGTTTGACATAACTGAAATGACTGAACAACAACATATGTAGCATAAATACAGAGTTAATAAAGAAATTAAACTCAGGTAGTTTGGGAAAGAGGGCACTCAGCAGTTGGTGGGGAGAGGGATGAGGAGAGATTTCATACAAAAGATAGTGCCTGAGCTGCATCTTAATGAAAGGGAGAGTCTCTTTGAAGGTTAAGAAGGGAGGGGGAGAATTCTGGGCATGGGAAATGGCCAGTCCATGGGTAAAGAGACAGAAGATGAAATGTCATGAGTGACAGAGAGAAGGTCAGTTTGGGTGGATGCATCATGGTGTGCTAGAAGAAGAGTAATGTCCAATGAGGATGGAAAGATACTTTGGAGATAGATTGTATAGGACTTCACAAGCTAAACAGAAGAGTTTATATTTTATTCTAGAGTAGGGGCAAGAAGAAGCCAATGGAGCTGATCGAGTAGAGGAGTCACTTAAGGAAAATTATTTTGATAGCAATACCTAGAATGGACTGGACTGGTAAAAGGAATTTAAGGCAGAGAGACCAGTTAGGAAGCTGTTGCAATAATCTAGGTAAAAGGTGATGAGGGCTTGACCTAAGGCAATCCTGTGAGTGCAGGGGTCACATGCAAGAGATGTTATGAAGGTAGAAACAGCGAGGTGGATATGTGTTGTGAAGGGAGAATGATGAGATTACAGACCTGAGACAATAGTGGAGTCTTCCACAGAAATAGAGATTTTTGGAAGAGAGGAGGGTTAAAAAGAAGGATAATTAGGTCAGTGTGGGATGTGTTGAGTTTGAGATGTCTCTGGGACATCCAGTTTGAAATGTCTAACAGGTGGTTGGTGATATGGGACTGAAGCTTAGGGGAGAGACTGAGGCTGAGTAGATGGATTTGGGAGTCATCTGCATAGATACAATAGTTAAATCTAAATGAGTTGATGAGGTTTCCAAGAGAAAGAATATAAAGAGAGAAGTAAACCTAGAACAGAATCTTGAGGAACAACCACATTTAGAAAGTATGATTATAAGGGTTCAAAAGTGCTGCTGACTCATCTCCACAGGACTTTGGAAACCTCTTCACCTTGGAAGTTTACTCTACCCTAGGATTCTTTCTTTCTTTTTTTTCTTTTTTTGTGAGGCAATTGGAGTTAAGTGACTTGCCTAGGGTCACACAGCTAGTAAATGTCAAATATCTGAGGGCAAATTTGAACTCAAGTCCTCCTGACTCCAGGGCCAGTGCTCTATCTACTGCACCACCTATCTGCCCCTAGGGACTATTTCTTACATTCAAAGTGACCTCCTTGCCCCTGCTGACTCTTCCAGTTTGGCTGACTACTAGAACCGCCAATTTAAGGAGGCCCAGACCAAAGATGTCTTCATCCCTCTCCAAGCATCTCTGCTGATTCATCTGCATGGTGGGCCCTTTTCTGATTCCCTTTTATATGTTATCTTCACCCATTAGAATGTAAGCTTTTGAGGAATGGGACTGTGTTTCTTTTTGCTCATATTTCTGTTCCCAGCATTTAGTATAGAGCCTGGCATATAATAAGCCCTTAATAAAAATGCTGGTTGACTGATGGTTGACTACTGCTTAGTACCTACATGACCTTAAAGAAGTTAATCTCTGCCAGGTCTTACATTCCATAACTGTAAGATGAAGGTTTTGGACTAGATGGCCTACTATAGGCCTTCCTTCCCAGCTCAAATTCATGTTCCTAAGTTCAATAGAAGCAATATGGTGTAAGAATCAGTATATTGGACTAGGAGTCAGGATGTGGGTTCTAGCCCCAGTTCTGCCAGTAATTAGTTTTATGACCTCAGATAGGACACAGTGAAGGCATCAATTTCCTCCTCCACAAATTGAGGGAGAGATTGTTTTAAGAAAAAACCATACTCTTTCACCCAGTGTATATCGATCATTGGGAATATACCCTAATACATTATCTATCTATCTATCTATCTATCTATCTATCTATCTATCTATCTATCTATCTATCTATCATATAGAGATATAGAATATACCCTATGAAAAGAATTATGTTCCCAAACATCACAGCTTGTAAAAAACTGAACACAACCTAAATCTTCAACAATTGAGAAATGATTGCATGAACTATGGTGCATCAGTATTATGGCAGGTCATAACAAAATCAAGAATTACAAAGAAGAGAAAAAGAATTAAATGAGAAAAACTTAGAACAGTATATATGATAACCATAGCTATATAAGTGGAAACAATATGTGGAAATATGTGTATATGTATTTATATATAGACACACACACATACAGTAGTAACAAATGAACAAAGATAATGTAAATATGCCCAGAGGAGGGAATAATAATAAGTTATCATAACCCAACATATCCAAAACAGAACTCATTACCTTTTCCTGCCCCAAGCCTACCTCTTTTCCTGATTTACCTATTTTTCTCAAGGCCACCACGATTTCTTCAGTTACCAAGCTTTTTTTCTGGAGCTCTCTTCTTTGCCTGCACAGGGCCATCTCCAGTCATCCTGATCTATATCTTGCCACTGGACCCAGATGGCTCCAAAGGAGAAAGTGAGGCTGGTGACTTTGCACTTAAATCCAATTCACTTGCAAGTCATGGCATCATCTTCCTGATTTCATGGTGCTCTTCAAGAACAAAGGACAAACAACACCACCTTTCCTTTTCTACAGTATCTCTCTTGGTGATCTTATATGCTCTTCATTCCTGACTCATCTACCATGCCATAGAAACTTCTTCACCCTGAAAGCTCACTCTACCCCTAGATTACTTCATATATTGGAAGTACTTTCGGTTCCTCCCAGAACCTAATTCAAGGAGACCCAGGCCAAAGTTGTCTTCATCCCTTTTTAGGCTACATTGAGGACTCACCTCCAAAGGACTTTCTCTACCATGGCCCTGCTCCTGGTGCCTTCTTTCCTTCCCCTGCCCCATCTTTTCACCTCTTTTTTGTGTGTTGTCTTCCTTCATTAGAATGTAACCTCCTTGAAGGCAAGAACTGTCTTTCTACTTATCACAGTGCCTTCTAAGTACTAAGTGCTTAATAAATGCTTCTTGACTGACTGGCTGACCATGTGTTCAATTATCCTCTCTAGGCAAACTACTATAAAACCTATATCTAGCTCTGGTGGCTTTCCTAAACTGTAGTCCCACATCACCAATTTCCCATTGGACATCACCACTTGGATGTCCTGTTGGCATTTCAAACTCAAGATGTCCAAAACAGAATTCATTCTCTTTTCTGCCTAAACCGTCCTGTCCTCCTAAGTTCCCTGTTTCTGCTGGAGGCACCTTCATCCTTTACAGAGCCCAGGTTTGCAACCTTTCTCCTTCCGGCCCTTGTGTCCAATCAGTTGCCAACTCTTGCTAGTCCCACCTATCTATCACATCCATTCTTCTCTGTCCACTCACATGGCTACCACCATACTTCAGGTCTTCATCTCCTCTCACCTGATCTATTGCCATAGTATCTTACTGGTCTCTTCCCTCTTCAATCCATCCTCAACATAATAGTCAAGTTGATATTCCTAAGCACAGGAATGATCATGACCTTCTTCTATTCAAGAAGCTCCTTCTTGCCACTGGGATTAAAACACAAATTACTCTAACCTTTAAAGCCCTGAACCATCTGGCTCCAACTTATGCTTCCTTTATACAGTCTACATTCCAATCAAGGCTGCCTACATTACATCTCAGGTCTCTGCCATCTTTGAGTAGTCTATCCCCTGGACCTGGAGTGTGCCCTCTCCTTGCCTCTGCCTAACACACTTTGTAGCATCCTTCTCAGTTTAGCTCAAGCACCATGTCTTACAGGAGGCCTGTTCTGATCTGCCCAGTTGACTTCACTGCTCCTGAAGAAATTACTTTTCATCTACTTCTTCCATGTTTCTTCTTTGTTTTCCTGTGTACATCTTGTTTCCATCAAGGAGAATGTAAGTTCCTTGAGGTCAGAGGTTGTGTTGTTTTTGCCTTTGCATTATTAGTGCCTAGCATTGTGCTTTGCACACAGTGGGTTGATGAATA